TGGGATTGCATAGATTACTATGTTTCATAGTTAATCTCCTGTCTTTTGCGATGCTCATGACGTGTGGGGCGCACTGAAGGCATTGCTACAGCCGGTCATTTTGGTTTTCTTATTTTAGTGTATTGGTATGATGACTATTATCTATTTGTAAATCGCTACTTTGTATTTTATGCATGCTCTGTAACTTGCCTTTTTTTAGTTACTGAATTGGAATATATTCACATTCTAATAAACAGTTATAGGGGGACTATTCTTTATGTTGTCAGATTACCTTTTCCCTTTGCTTTGGATATAGCCATAGAATATTTGATTCTGATGAATGAGAGCATATAGGTCCTTGCATTACAGAGTGCAATATTGAATTGGAGGTACCACTGTGTGAACTCAGCTTTGATTTTGGACTTGTAGTTCCATTATGCTTTTCTTGGAAAAAATATTACCAAAAATATAAGGGAAGTATTTAATCTCTGTATTTTGATACATGTCACTAGACCCAGGAAGAGGCTCCATCACTAATTTTACTGAAAATTGGTAGTAAGTTTTTTACAAAATTATTTAAGAGAAGGAGAAACTAGGTAGTGAATTGAAAATGATAAAGTAACTGAATTTTTATGAAGTATAGACTTAATGTTACATTGGGCATGGTTGGATCTTGGGAGTAGTCCAAGAAACCAGAAGTAGTAGAAAATGGCTTTGATTGCATTTCAACAAGTGTCTTCATTCTGAATAGTATCTCATGAGACAAACTGTCTCAATTAAGAAACATTAAATTTTATAATGTTATGACAATTTAGGGCTCAAGGCAGTTTAGTAGAAGTCTTTTGCTACTTGACCCATCTTGTCAGTTATTTTAACTTTGCCTTTTTTTTAATATTTATCTATTATATTCTCCTGAAATGTCAGTTAGCCATCTTGCCTTGGTAAATTTGTATGTAAATGTTCGCAAGTGCTATTCGTGATTTCTCTCTAATATAGTAATTATTACTCTGTAAGGGTAAGTTTTTTTTTAGCCATTGATTGAGTTGCCAAATTCTAAGACAGAGTGCTAGCTGGTGACTTATGCCAGAGGTCTTTTAAGTTCTGAAGGGTTCTGCAGGAAAGTTAAACTTCTTAAGGGTTTGGATTGCCCATTAAATCTAGTCATACTTATTTCACCATTGGGAAGATGAACATCTTAATTTTTGTCTTTATTGACTTGTATTTACAAAATGCAAATGCTCTTAGTGGTTTGAGCTATTGTGATAATCTCTCCATCTACCTTACAGAGACAAAACTACTACTTAGACAGTTTTGGCCAACCCAGAAGCAGAGTAATTCAAGGACTGGGTAGATAATTAAAAACTTACTCCAACCTGTTAGGTTTCAATTTATGGAGCTCTTTTAGCAGAGGAGAAAATGGAGGTTGGTTTGATGTTTCACAAACATAAGCTTGAAAAAAATTAAAAACAAAATATGAATTTTGTATAAGGACGGTGCATGATATCCATTCCCTGTGTGAAAAAAAAAATGAACAAAGACCATTAAAGGATCCTCTCCTACCACATCATTTAGTAGGTTTGCGTAATAGTCAGACTAGTGCTGAATAGAACAGGGCTGACTTTTTTTCTTCTGGTTGGGGCTGTGCTAGTGCCATACGCTTTTTCTGGGGTTTGACAGGTCACCTTTTCCATCACCTATACAATGTGCCAAATAAACTGGAGTTGTCATTCTAAAGTTTTAAAGAAGAATTTGTTTCTCCAAACTCTAGGAGGCTGATGGAAACAATAAAGCAATACAAAATGCTATTGTCACTACAACTTATGTAAGGGAGAACCGTTAGTCTGAGAGATTTTTTTTTTTTTAGTCGGAGAGATTTTTAATTGAAGTATCCATTTCCCTGAAAATTGAATTGGAAGATAAAGACTATTTGAAAGGAACTTGATACTAGGCAGATAGTAGAAATATGTAAATTCTGTGAGTTAAAAGAAAGTGGCCGGCATAATAGAGCACTGGACTGGGTGACAAAGATGTGGATTCTAGTCATAGCTCTTTTAGTCATTCCAGTTATTGAGGGGACTGGATTAAGTCATTTGTGGGGTTTACCCCAGCTCCAATTCAGTAATGCTATGAATAAACTCTTTTTAAGTATTAGAGCCAAATTAATCATTCTAACTCAAATTTGAATTTAATAGATACAAGTGCACACTTTGCATGATGATTTTGGTTTTATCATCATAACTTGATTGGAATGTTTTTATTTTCATATTAACTCCATTAAATAAGATGAAAGCTTTCAGAACATTTGCGAAATGACTGTCAATTTCACAGTGTGATATACATCAAAGTACCATATGCGCTAAGGTGGGAGGTGCACTTCATGGGCTACTGTGTCAACTGTAAATTGAGAACTGCTTGTTTTTTGGCTTTTGCTGTTAAAATTGCTGGCTTTTAATATACACTTTAAAGTATATTCATGTCTGGGAGAGAACTTTTAAAAACATACTGGTTAATTTAAAAAAAAATCTCTAATAGGAATCTAAAAGAAGGTAGGTCAATCCACAGAACTAGCTATCCAGTAGAACTAGTGACTAAATTCAAGTATATATAGGTTTATGTGTGTAAACACATGATATTAATAGCATTATTTGGCTGTTAGTAGTCCAAACATTTGAATTCAATTATTTAACATTATTAAGCATAGAATTGATAGGTCCTGGCACAGATGTCATGTATATTGGCTGTTAACTATGGTTACCAGTATGTGATGGTAGGGAAAAATAATAGCCAACAGGATTCCTTTCCTATGTTTAAGTCAGTGGAACTTAACATTGCCCCATACACAGAATCTTAGATCTTGTTATCCCCATCCCAATGAATAAGTGTACTACTGCTTTTCCCAGTACCCATTCCCCTACTGAAAACGTGGTGTCGCAGCATACCATCTTCTCAGATCTCTATAGGGAAGTAGTATGTTTCCTTATCTTTTTTTTTTTTTTTTTTAATCATCTGAGGATATTTTTAAATTGCTTTTCGGGGAGTGGGAGAGAAAAGCATCGAGGTGAGAGAGACACATCGATTGGTTGCCTCCCACACACACCCCAACCTAGGCTGGGGCTCTAGCCTGCAACTGAGGTAGGTGCCCCTGGCCAGAATTGAACCCGGGACCCTTCAGTCCCGAGGGCTGATGCTCTATCCCTGAGCCAAACTAAGGCTGGTTCCTTATCTTTAAGAAGTTGCTGATTACATTGTACTAGTCTCTGTGCCAAAGCATTTCATCCTATGGGCCTAAGAATAGAAGGTCATGCCTGAAACAGGACAGTCTGGGAAGCCCTAGGGAGCAACACACTTTCTGTAGGCTATCTTTGATATGAAAACAGTTCTGGAGGAGGATGTTAGGATTCTCAGTTACTGGTCTTGATTTACATTTAAGTGGATGTCTAAAAATAGTTCTTTGTAAGAGCTCAGGTCCCCATGTCTTCTCTTACACAAGGCTCTGGAGGGTCATCTGCTGGGCCAGACAGTGCCTTGGGAGGCTGGAATCAGGAGGGATTCTGACAACTCTAGCTACAGACCAGAGCTACCTTGTGTGGGTTTGGATTGGACCACTGCTCAGAATCTTTCTAGCTCTGTAAGTCTGAAGAAAATGTATAATAAGCACTCCACTAACCACCTGAGCCCTCCATTTACTCCTGCCCTTTTGTAATTGCTACATTGTAAGATCCACAAGGATAGGGAATGGGCTTTGTTCATATTTACATTTCTTCTATCCCTCCTACAACCCTGTATCAGATAAGGAAGGACCATTTAAAAGAGTGAGGCGCTCACCTTAGGGTTCGTTTTAGTTTAGCTTGGGGAGCTATAATCTGACAATTAAAATTCAGGTTAAAAAATTTATTAAAAATTATATAATTATAATTGTAAATAATATATAATTATACAAAATTATAAATAATAGTATAATGAATCCCTATGTATCCATCCATCCCTTTTAAGAAAGATTTTCCATCTCCTCTTTTGCCACATATTAGATGAATGGCTAATAGAATGTGTCATTCCTGAATCTTCTATGTTGAATATAAAACCTGCTGCCTTTGTTTATCATTTATGGTGTTGGGTAGTATTCTGAGCCTCATAAGTCATAATATTAAACTATTGTTCTCAGTAAATACCCTTTTTGCCTTAAAATTCTTGATTATGTTTTATCTTTCACTAAGATGTCAGGCTCCAGCCCTTGAGAGTTGTCTGTTAGGAGGAAGCTCTTTTCTGAATGAGTTTTAATCTCTAACTAGCAAAAATGTATTCTTGGTTAAACGTTTTAGTAAATGGGAGTATACCCTTTGAGTATCACATCAGCCTCTTGAACTGGTAAGTTGAAATGATTTAATTTGACTTAAGTATGTACAAACCTTTGAAAGTCTGAAGGAGAAATTTTAAACTTACACCATTAAATACATTAAGCTCTTTTTTAGCATCTGTATTTTATAATAAAATTAATCCTGCTGCTTTTTCACTAGTTAGGTCACAAAGTTATGTATTAAAAGGCCCTAAAACAGATGCACCCAGAGTACTGTACTGGGTGATAACTTCTATTCGTGGAAAGCTATTCATTGCTCTTAATGCAAATTAGGTGACCCTTATATTTGCCTTTATTCCATTCCATAGAATTACCTTTGTGCCTCTGAGTGTGCACAAGCTGTAATAGTTGCCTTTGAGTCCAAATCTTTGTGAAAGCAGAGAAAGTCTCTGTTTGAGTATACTGAAGTTTATGAGATATTTCAGTAATTTTTGGACATGAATTAAGAATATGTAGTTCCCATTCATTACTTTAATGGAAGTGACTCTCTTGTTATAAATTTGATAGAACTTTTTCACTTTATTTTCAAGCATCTATGGGATAATTTTCACTCTTCTAGCTGTCTAAAGTGACCACACAAAATGTAGGTTAGTTCTACCTTTAAATCTAAGGTGTAGATTATAGACACATTTTTGGTTTGAAACACAACTGTAGGCATTCCTATAAATTAGTTTGAGAAATTAATTTTATTTTGAACAAGGTATGATCCCTCTGAACAGTGAACAAATATATCACAAATCTGGGTTGTTTAAAAAATGTATTGCCATTTCAGTCTCACCTATGCTATTGTACAATCATTGTGTTTTCTTTATTCATTTGAATTATATGCACATCACTTTACTTGAGTGAAAACATAGTTTCTGTAAAATACTTCAACAGATCTTTCCAAGTTGTCAATAAAATGCACAGTGCACATGTTTAGGTTGACCATGAACTTATTTGTGACAGTGCTAGACAGAAGTTCCTAACAGTTCTATAAGATGGAAATGTCTTTATTAGTAATTCATAGATATGTGAAGACAACCATTGTCACCAAGTAATCACACCCTCTGTCTTTCCCTTTTCTTGTGGTCCTGATTTAATTTGTGGTACATCTCCTTAAAAATTAGAATGCTAGAACTGAAGGGTTTTAGGGCTCCCTTACCCCTCTTGCTTCTTCCTTTTTTTACACACGGGGGAAAAAGAGCCCAAAGAGGGCAAGTAACACTCAAATCTCTTGACCCAGTGCTTTAGCAATTTCACCATGCCACCTCTTGTTGAAATTTGCCCAGAAGATAGTTGGCCAAAAAGAGGTGAAACTTGAAACTTGAGTGATGGTGCTTGTTTGCAGTTTGCCAGGCAGCAGTTACTGTACATGCAGGGTAAGGGAAGAAGATAAAACCTGGGATTGAGATGAAGTTTCTCCTTGCTGATCTGACTTCACCATGATTCTTGGTCTTTGCTTCACAAAGGTAATTGAGCACTTGCTGCCCTGAAATACTGAGGTAAGTCTCTTATCTTTCTTTCTACATATATATGAGAAATATTTTACTTGAGTCTACAAAGTATTTTCTAGTATTTATATTTAATAAGGCTGTTTTTGGGAAGTAAATTTGCTGATCACTTGCTCCCATGCAGACATGCAGCATTCATGTTAAGTATTAGATATTTTCCCCTAACAGCATTTGCTTAAGCCTTGGTGAAATGGGGGAGGAGGGGCTTACTCATTTTTTTCCCCCTTGCTTTTGCTGGTTATTGCCCAAACTAATGGGTTCCATGGCAGACTTCCAATTTGTATCAAGGGCTTCGGAACTCCCACATTTCCTGTAGCAACTGTTCCAGCTTTGCAGTCATATAGTTCCTCTTCTGTATACCTTTTGGAAGTATTTATACTGGCTGAACTGTTATTAGAGAATAGAGTGGTATAGGGGTGCCCATTAGTTTTCTTGGTTTGCCCTTTCAGTCTTTAATTCTTGTGAGGAGGTCCACTTTAGGGCTTGGGAGCTGACTCCATTTCGACTCATCTGAGCCCCAGTTTTTCTATGCTCATTAGTAATGGAAGGTACAGACATGTCTGAATACTGGGATCTGGAGCGTTAGCTCATTGTAATTCAGTTTTGGCCATCTTAGCAGGTGGTGGGTTTAAGGTAGAAGTACTTCATGTCCTTATGTGCTGTTTACTATAAAGTTTTTACATCAAGTTACGGCAACCGATTACAGTCCATTCTTTCTTTGATCATTTCAATTTAGTTCCATCAAAAAGCATAATGTACTTCAAGCAATTTTAACTTGACATATCCTCTTTTGTCTAATTTTCTCTATATCAAGCTCAAGATTATGAAGAAATGCTTGAAAGCAAGTACTCTTCTGAGTCAAGGAATGCCAACCAAATAAATTTGATGAGAGGCCAAATACCCATTTTTGGGGATACTTAATTCTTATCAGCCTGTGACTGCTTGCTTAAAGCATCACCTGAGTTTTATTTCCCATGGAATGACTTGGGTGTTGGGTGGACCAAGAAGATATGAAAAGGCCAGGGCTGACTTGCAATATTCTGGAATTTTGAATTGGCAAGATTTGGTAAAAACTGGCCAGAAATATTGTCGTAGACTGAAAAGCTGTTGAGCTTTGAAAACTCTTTTTCCTTGTTCTACCTACCAGCAGGGGCAGAAGAGGGAAAGTTAATTTGTACTTATTTAAGTCTTACTTTAAAAAATTGAAGTTGTTAGCATTAGACTACATAGTAAACTGTAATGTAACCTTGGCCATTGTAATTTGATAGACCAGGCATATATGTACAGGTACTTTAGGTTTGATATTAGCACAGTTTTTGTCTATGTACTAATGATCTTAGGTAATCAAACATGTTGATGGTAACAGCAACCAAAAGTACATATACATTTCAGGTAATTTAAATTAATCCTTTCCCCTCCCCAGTCCTACTTTCCCCCTAGGAAGGTTTGTAAAACCTATTCTACATGCTTTTTAAGCATCATGTTTCAGATAGTTAAATACATAAATAAATATAGTTAGCTATATTTAGTTCATGTTGATGAATAGCTTTTTCCTAAATGTTTTAAAAGATCATGTAATCCAGGTAATTTGGAGTTGGGTGGGTGATAGGATTTACCTTTGCAAACAGACCTTTTGAGCAATTACCCCAGTCCCACTTGGAAGCTCTTCTTTAGTTCCAGGTGAAAGTAATAACTAACACGCAGCTGGAGTCAGTCTGTACCATTATTTCAAGTCAGGGGATTGTCTTCTTTCAGAGAGTCAGAGAATGTTCAGCAGAGCACATTGCAAGAGAGAAGCTTATCCCTCTTAAGACTGCTTGTCCTGGGAGGGCTCATTGGCAGGGCTCTGTCTTTCTGGGAGGAGGTCATAATGACCAGGAATGTGGCTGTTCCTAGGTAGGTCGTATGGATTCTGGATATAGCTGGAGTTAGGACCACGGCCTTCTTGGACCACACTGACTGTGGGCTCTAAGGAATATAGTGAAAAATGAGTTCAGAGAACAGATTAGCTTTGGTTGCCTTGTTGGGGGGAAGAGAGTTCTATTTAACTGGGTGGGGAGAGAATCCAGGGATATATAAATCTGTGATAAATACATGAGGGTTAGGGCTGACGCTCCAGAGACGGAAAACGTAAGTGAGCGTGCTGTCAGAATCCCATCCCAAGCTTGGTCAAAACCAAGAGATTTAGAATATCCTAGAAGTGTAGGGGTCTCAGCAGTGAGCCCAGGGACATGAGTTAAACTGGGAGAAAGCAGAAGGTGGTGATTTAGAAGTTAATAAATGTTCTGTTCTGATTGTTTTCTTTTTAAACTGGGATTTGTATCAACAATCAGTTGTAGTGTACGTGTGTGTATCCACTCCCACCCCTAGTATTTCTGCTTCATACTAGTCCTGGTGTGTTTTTTTTTAAAGCAGAGTTGACACAAGAATTTGATTCCTGCATGAGAGAGGAGGGCCCTGGGAAAGACAGGCAGTTCACCTTGGATTCCTTAAAAAGCAACAAAAGAAAGGTGTGCTTTCAAGACAGGGTGAGTGGAGAGGGATTGTTTTTATTTCAGATGTTGCACTATGCACTAAGTAACTGATTTCACTAAGTTACTTATTTGAGACACCTACCAACTTCATATATATTTTTATTAGATGTCGACAAGGATGGCACATCTGTGTACGGAGACGCCCTGTGCACAGGCGACTTCATTTCTACATAGCTGCTTTCTGGAAGCTTGCAGGTGAGGATGGGTGGGTCCTTAATTGTGGCATAAGGGTTTTCACTGCTATTCAAGGAACAAGTGCTAGAGCTGCACACGGATTCTTTCATGTAATCTGCAAGGCAAAAGAGATTTCTTATGACCAGCAAGGACATAAGACTTAATTTTAATACCAGAAACAGACTTCAGTCAAAGTTCATGTGCTTTTGCGATCTTGGAGCTGTAAAAGCCTGTCACAGTCCAAGATTTACTTTTTTTTTTTTAATATATCTATATTGATTTCAGAGAGAGAGGAAGGGAGAGAGAGAGAGATACAAACATCAATGATGAGTCATTGACTGCCTCATGCACGCCCCCCATTGGGGATTGAGCCCACAACCCGGGCATGTGCCCTGACTGGGAATTGAACCACAATCTCCTAGATCCTAGGTCGATGCTCAAGCGCTGAGCCACGCCTGGCCAGGCAAGGTTTAATTTTTAAATACGTTGAGTGCTTTCCTAGGTAGGTAGGTGTTCTTAGTAGTAAGGTATAGCACCAGAAAGAGATTAATTCAAGATATTCATTATGTACTTTCACATATATTTAATTTTTACAAAATCCTGCAAGGATAGTTGATAGCTTGCATTTTATAGGATGAAGGCCCAGAGAGATGAAGTGACTTGGCTGAGGTCACACAGCTCATAAAATGGCAGTGCCAAGACTTGAGTCTATGCCTTGGGACTCCTTGGCCTGTGTGTTTTCTGCAATACCATTCTGTATTTTTTCTGATGATTAAAATGCTTAGGTTGAGAAGAAGTAGGCTGTGTGTGTGTGTGTGTTGGCACAGGTGCCAGCAATTTGGTATCCTTTCAGCAGCAAACTGGCTGCATCCCTGTTCTCTGAGAAGCTTGTGATCAGAGGTGGGGCAGATAGAAGTGTAAAAGAGGTGTCAGAAGCACCTGGATCTCAAGCTAGCCTTTGGAAAGTTCCTGTTTTTTTGGAAGCCTGCAGTGTATCCTCTGTGGTCATTTACCTCAGTTCTCGTGAATGCTAAAAGAAACCTATTTTAGTAGTAACTTTCTCTGATACTAGGAGAACTCATGCTTTCTCTCCTGCCACCTCTTAGGCATGCATCATCCTCAAGACTTCAAGGTATGTTAGGGTAAACATATGCAAAGTAGTTTCCAAGTATGAAGCCAGGTAACTAGCTCCACTAGAGGAAGAAAGTTCTCTTTCCTTGTGACTGGGAGTCACAGGAGGAAAGGGGAGCCCTTCCTTCATCCTCTATCCTATTCCCCTTTTGGAGAAGATCACTGCCTCTTGCAGATTGTCCCAAGTTGAGTTAGGACTCTATTACTCTTTCTCTCTGTGATCCGGCAGCTCTGGCCCTCATCTATCTGTCTGAGGCTCTGCCATCCAGGAAGTCTAGAAGCAAGCACTGAGTTCGTGGGGCTTGGAAGTCGAGGGATGTAAGTGGCCTCTTGGCTCTAAATTTCTACAAGTGGTAGCAGATGGTGATATTCTTGGATGATCTTTCTCTAGAACTACCACAAATTACATTTGGGCTTCTATTTATCGCTGCTTTCTGCCTCCAACTTGTGAAATTGATGGAAATGTAAAAAAGTGAAAGTGATAATGTAATTCAAGGGGTGACTGGACCAAGATGTACCTTGGTCCAGTGAGAACAGAACAGAACACTCCATGTGGCTGAAGTAGTTGAGGTGTGTGTGTTACCACAAGTAGTCTTTTCTCCCCTAAGAGATGATCGGGAGGGGATTTACTTTTCTGTTGGTGTAGAGCTACTGATATCTGTCTGTTTCAGCAGGTAACGTTTCCTCAATCTTGTACAAAAGCACACTGATCCATTAGTTCCTTCAGGTGTTCATAACATACTGTGGTGCAGGTAGAGCAAGGATATTGTTCTCACTCCCTACCCCCCTTTATTCTTATGAGGAAATTGAGGCTTCATGTGGGGAAGTGACTTCTCCAGGGTCATACTGCTAATCAGTAGCAAAGCAAGTTCTAGAACCAGGCTCAGAGCACTTTTCTATCACAACTTAGTCCACAGTGGAGAGCTTAGTTATAGTGGATATTGGCTTGGTTCCATCTTAGATTATGGCCTCTTTCTAGCATAGAACCCTAGACAGAAGGAGAAAACATTCTTGCTAGACAATGAGCAGTCCCAGGCAGCCCCAGCAAGGACGAAAGGGAGGCTGGATTGGCCCCACTGCTGGTGAGGCTCAATGGGGAAGGGTGCTGCGGTTCCTGGGCCATGACCTGCCCTGGGCCACGTATATTTGCCTCTAGAGTACTTTGTTTCTTCAAACAAGGGAGTGGGGCTAAATCCAGGAACCCTAGTAGCATGGCTCATTGGTCCCACTTTGGGTGTTTGGAACTTACCAGCTAGGGAGTAAGGCAATGTGACTCTGGCTTGTTTGGAAGCTTCGAGGATTGGAATTACTTAAAAAGGGGCTATCTCCTCAGAGAAGTCCTAACACCTCTCCCACATACATCCTTTTACTTTGATTGGCAGCTGCCTCAGTTGCATATTTTCTAGAACTTAAGGAATATCGATAGCTCACTTTGTGTGTCACTTAAAACTAGTATTTCGGGTTAGTTATTTGATACTTGTTACATCTTTGAAGGAGGCTGGGCATGAAGGACTAGTATTACTACTTTAGAAATGAGGAAACTGAAGCTCATAAAGTGTGCTTAATTTTAGTAAGTAAAGACTCAACCCCTGTCTTCTTTGTTACCCAATTAAGGTGTTTTTTCCTCCTATCAGTTTCCTTATGCTCCTGTGCTCTTCTTTGGTATCTCTAAATGCAAAGTCTGCCTGCAGCAGCTTCACCTTACCTTCAAGGAACATCTTTTATCTATAGGGTCAAGCCCTGCTGAGAAAGTCCAAGCTGTAAGCTTTTCTTGAATATCCCATGACTATCAGTCATGACAGTGGGAGAGCCTGGGAGCTCTAGCTCAATGCCTATTAGAGCCTCAGCCAGGCAATAGTGTCCCTCTTTCCATTTCCACCAGAAAAGTCAGGGTTTCTTCCAAGTTTAGGGGAATAAATTGTTTGCTCTGCAGCAGGCAATGCACCTAAATGGATAAAAGAGAAGTTGGGGTTGTGGGGGAGGCGATTAGTGTCAGGGAGAAGCTGTATCTTCTTCCATAAAGGGGCCAGCAGTAAAGACAAAGGATAGAGGGGGTGTATGTGTGTTGAGGTGATAGGGGAGGGTGTTGAGTTATGGAAGAATCTGAATCTGGATTCCTATCTGGAACTGGAAGTTGGGGGTGGCTAGGCAAGCTGGAAACTACTGTTTTCTCCAGCTGAGTCATCTACCTGCCTGCCCAGAGGGAGGGAGGAGAGGGAGAGGGCGAAGGCGTGATAAAGGGGAAGAATAACCAGCTGCTCTAAGATACTTCCTCATCCTTTAAGAGCTCCACCCCCCCACCCCACCCCCCAGCCAGTCCTTGCATTTCAGGGCTTTTTGTAAAGAAAGAGGAAGCATCAACCAAGGCTACCCAAGCTCTGGGGAGTCAGTCACTCCTCCAAGGTCTGTAATTACCATTAGTATTAAAGTCTTAGCCCTGTAATGCCCTGGTATTTGTTCTCATCTAGTTCCTACCTCCCCAAAATCACACACAGTCATAAACTATGGGGGGCAGAAGGGGCCTCTGAAGAGAGCTAATGTAAACATCTTCATTTTATAACAGGGAGCAGCAAATCCAGAGAGGGAAGTGACTTTCCAAGGCCACCATATGCATGGGATCTGAATTTCCCAGGGCTTCAGGTTCAACTAACATCTAGTTAAGGCCAATATTTTACTATTGGGGGAAACCATAGTTTCCCAGCTGACTACTGTTATTAGAAGACCACGCTGGCTTTTCACTTCCTGGGCCCTAAATTAGCATCCTTCTCTGGATTGAGACAAGGATATGGGGAGAGGAAAGGGAAGATCTCAGGAGAACCACATTAGCTGAAAAAAGTTTTCAGAATGTCAGGGGGCTCCAAACTACCTTGGAACCCAAGGTGACTACAAGGAGAGACTTGGTTAGATTACCAAGGGGTGCAACGTGGGGAAAGTGGCAGCAACAGTGGAATCCAGGATTTCAGGGTCATAAAGGTGATGGGGAGAGTACTGGGGAAGGTTTCTTCTCCAGCGGTTTGTTGCCGAATCATTATGCAGAGTGGGAGAAGGGGAAGTGATGACAAAGGTGTTTAAGAGGTAAAATGAGGTTAGCATAGCTCACGTGACCTCCAGAATGACAGCAAGTAGAGGTCTTCAGTAAATAATGGGAAAGAGAGGGAATATTGACTATTTAATGACTTTGAGAATGTCAAAGCTGGAAAGGGCCCCAGAGATGGTGCTAGTACAACCCTGTCCTAGTAGAGTAAGAAACCTAGAGCCAGAAAACAATGCTGTGACCAAGTTGGTGCCACATAGCAAGAACTAGGACTAGAATCTGAATCTCTTTAACTCCCAACCAGGGCTCTTTCCCATTGAGTTTAAAGAACACTTAAGATTCTTCACTCCTAACAGTTTGGTATAATAGGTTTAGGAAATAATTTCATTCCTGGTACAAACTAGTTTATTATTAAGTGTTTATTTGGGAGTTCAGCCAGTGTTTCTGGGTTTATTCCATATCTTTGATAAATACTTCTGTAAAGTTTTGAATCGTAACATTTCATTTTCCTCTTTGAATTCTCTTGTTCACATGTGTTAGTTCCCAATACCTGCTGGTACATTTGCTTACATAGCCCTCTTTTCTCTCTAATTTAAAGGATGGTTGTAACCAGAGTGGTGAAACGAAATCTGCACTCAGAAGCTCAAATACATGTCCCCACAAAACAGGAATGAATGATGCTGAGGCAGAGATCATGCTCTCCTTAGCTTTGTTTTACATTCATGGTTGCAAGTCTGCAAGTAGCTACTCTAATCACAATGCTCAGGATGGCACAGTGCATAGGAAAGTTGTGTGCTCGTTTGTTGAGGTTCTGGGCCTGTCTGAGCTTATTCACGATTGAGTAATGCATATTCTCAGAGCTGGAAAGGCCCTTAACTATTTCTGCCCAATCCTTATGCCTCTGAGGAAGAAACTGAGGTCCCAGGTCACAGTGCTAAAGCAGTAGAGCTATCTTTTCTGTATTAAGCCTTATACCTGCTGTAATGGTGCTTGTCTTCATTGGGATGGTTTAAGTCAAAACTCATAGAAAATTGCCAGAATGCTGCTCATAAGGGAGTAATGTCCTTTGGCCAGAAACCTAGGGCTGACCTGTTTCCAGATCATTCTCTTGAGCAGTGTGTACCCTAACAAGGGCTGATGGAGACTTCACCTTCCTGTTCTCTTGCTCAGGATATAATTCTTTATCACCACCACCACTCACCCCTAGCTCACCCCATTTCTAACAGCCATCCCACCAAGCGCTATAGATGACAAGCTCTCCTTGGTTAGGAAATGGCTGTGTCTTGGGTGTGTCTAAGGTTGAGTCTGATAGACCAGAACAGTAATCGGGAAATCTGGGTCAGCCTAAATCAGTGGTTTCTAAGTGTTAGTTAGGTTTCTAAGTGATATGCTGCATAAGGATACCCTGAAGTACTCTGCATAAATGCAGATTCCAGGACCCCACTCTAGATCTACTGCTTCAGAATCTTGGGGAGATGAGTGTGAACATCAGCTGATTCTGGTGCACAGCTAGCCTTAGGATATCCATTGGGACCTCTGCTGTGAGTCATTTCTTACTCAGTTTGGCCGAGACTGTTAAATAGACCTCAGAGACAAAAGGACAGCCCTATTACAGTAATACAATCCTTTACAATATGCAAAAACACTTCCCATCTGTGATTTTATTGAATACTCATGACAACCTTGTTAGACAATAGGATGATAGGCGTAATTATCCCAACCTTGCAGATGAGGAAACTGGGCCTTGGAGAGCTCACAGTCTAAGCAGTTAATAAATTACAGAGTAATAAGTGACATGGTTCCAAAGCCACCTATTTCACACATTCTGTCATTTAAACCTAGGGCCTAAGCCCAAAGGCAGGACCTGACCTTTCATCTTGGCTTTACCCATAGACTTCCTAGAAGGATGATCCGACTTAGAGTTCCCATGTGTTGGGATTAGTCCTAGTGTCCCTGTTCTCGGGGGGCAGAGATTTCTTGAGGGTGGAGTGCCATACAATATTAGGGTATCATTTTCATTCCTTGTGCCCCAGAAAGCCAGCAGGTGCAGGGTGGTGGTCCTTACCATTGCAATGACAGGAGGCCTCTGGGGCAAGTAGATTGACTTTATTTCAGATTTTTTAATCAACTTAACTTGTACTAATTGGTTGGATAATGACATTCTACATTTCCGAAGACATTTATTTGGCATCTATAAAAAACCCACAGCGTTTGCTAAGCAGGTGCAACTGAAACTGAAAGATGAATTCATTATTATTATGGTTGCTCCTCCTGGGCAGAGCTACCCAGCAGACCCAGGTCCTGTTGTCTTTTAACTTTTAAGGGGTTTGGGGGAACAGGTGCGCAGTTCTCTCTGGTAGAATTTCTGGTCATTTCAGATCTGTACTCTTTATCTTGCTAAGCCCTTTCTAATGGGACGTCAGGATTGGATACTCTACCTTTGAAGCCTTTGTCCATAATGTATGTGTTTTGACGTCTATCCATTCCACAAGCACCTGCAGAAAGAGTGTAAGGAAAGAAAAATATGGAGGTGAGTGAGGTTTACTTGGACTACATGTGTAGGCTTCAGGTTTTTTTGTTTTTTGCCTTTTTCTCCCCTACCCAGAAAATAAATAGTTCTTTAGTGCTAGAAGATTAGTCTGGGTTTACTCTACTCTAAAATCTTTTTGACCATATAGGAATTCTTAAAAGGCTCGTAAGCACTAATGGTGAGCTATAGCGCCCTCTGGCATATTCAGCATTCCTCCTCTAACATTCCAGGAGGTGATGAAAGGTAGTTCTCATGCCACCTGCAGTCACTATAGTTGAAGTTCCAGACTCCAAAAGTGTAGAATAAGAAATGAATCAGAACCATTTCTTAGCTTGGCAAGGGTGCATGTCATTCCAAATCCTAGTTCTGTTGGATTTTAGAATAGGGTTGAAGACTGCTTCTTACTTCTCAGCTCTGGTCCTGCCTCTCCTCTCCTGGATCAGAAGCTTGACTGAGGGGACCCAGAGAGGGAGGTGGACAGGTGGCTGAGGTCATGTTTGTGGGATGTATAGTCATTCCTCATCCACAGTCAGCTTTCTTAGTTATTCCTTCTTTTTGGGTGGACCATTTACAGCTAATTGAGAGCTGTCTGAAAAGTATTACCAGTGTTTTTCAATCCCAAGGGTTTCTTTTCTCCCTTTTAGCTGTCACATTTTATGGTAGGCTCCCACAGTACATGGTCCTGAGCTCCAGCCACAGGCAGGACATACAGATTTAGGGACCAAGCTCAGGTTCTTTGTGGCTGCTGATCCCAGAAAAGAAATTGTCTGGCATTTTTAGGTTCGGGCAATAATGACAGTGGCTCAAAGTGAAAGCCATCCCCC